CCAATCGCATCCTTAACCCTTAGGCAGTGCTTGTCTGCCACACTTGCTCATCTGCATGTTGGGACCCTGACCTACTTGTCACCAAATCCGGGTGAAGACCTGGAACCTTGCCTTGAGGCAAGGACCCTAGCTCATTTATGACTACATCTTGAGACCGATGCAATGCCTTGCTTTGTGGTAAGGGCCCTAGCCCATTTTTTGCTATACCCGGGGCCCAATGCAACGCGTCCCTATGAAGGGTGCGCCCCAATGAAATATCATAAGGTTCAACTCATAAATATAGCTAATTTTTATGACCAACTCGCTATACCTGACGTCAACCTTCTTCCTTTATCCTAGCTTGGGACAAGCCATGCATGTAAACACACATGATGCACCGACAATATTACCGATCATTATATTATATCAAAACATAATTGTACCATGAACAAACGTTTAGGCAAAGATGCTTGCTTATTAATTGGTCGTTAATATTGAGATATCCACTCGTATATATTAAAATTGAGTAGTTTTTAAGAGGGTGAATTTGCTTATTATGCTATATTCTCTTTTTCTTTTTCTTTTTGGGTAGTTATTATGCTATTTTCTTTATTTGAATGTCATATATTCTTTCTATAAATATCATTTCACCTTTCACGGCCTTACAAATGAAAATGTTTAAAAGAAGCCTTTGGCCCAATTGAAATCAGTAATTGGAACTCGTTTTGAATAGCTCAACAAAGCTCTAACCAAATTAAGTCAGCTATAGGATTGCAGAGAAACTGAGAGCAACCAAACACGTGCTATGCACGAGGACATGTCAAAGTGTATCTGTGTCATTTACATACTGGATGAAGGGATTGAAGCGGGGTGCTTCTATGTGGATTTGAGCCAGAGTTGACCATGGAGGCAGTTGTTTTGCATGGCTCTAATTTAGAAATGCACTTATCCATTAAAAAGATGTCTTTACACATATTAACTGCTCGCCAGAATGATTATGGTCTAAAGGGCTACCTAAGAATTGGTGTAACTACAAACCAGTGTAAGATAATGGATTGCCATGGAGTCCATAAACAATTGGCTGAAAGTGAAATAAAATCTGTGATAGTATCTATTATCTTGAATTTTATAGACGGGAATTAAACCATTTTAGGTGAAAAAATTTATAAGATAGATGGCACAGGATGTACAACATCAATGATGCCATCCAAGGCATCAAACTTATTAAAAATGTATGCATCTAGCTTCTACCAAGTCCAAGACAAGAAGAAATTCATGATGCATCCAGAGGCGGATCTAGGGGGGTTAGAGTTGATGGCCGCTCCGCCCCCAAAATTTGAAAGATGAGTAGCTTTCAAATTTGGATTGCATTTCTGTTGACTTTGTTACTATGCAGTTCATGTGTTTTTGTATACTCATGCCCCTCTATGACCTCTTTCTCAAATCCTCAAGAGAGTGAATACATGTGCCTCGAAGTCAAGCCATGTACACCACGAGCGAGCAACCAACATATGCCGCAGTTTCTTCCAAAATATAGGCCTCGTAAACCTCCACCACCGGCGACATTCTACTTCTTTTCTCCCCCACCTCCTAGCCCTCCTCATTCTCCTTGTTACACCACTTTTACTCTTTACGTTACACCACATTTGAAACATTGAGGGTTAATCTTACCTTGTTAAATATCATGCATGTTCTGTTTGTAAGTGCAAAAGTTATCTAGACTAATCTATTTTAATATTTGTTATGGTCACAATTGCAACAAGCAATAGTCTGTATGTTGCTCTGGGCTCACCACCACTTCAAGGGTGGAAACCTATGGGAGGAGATCCATGTTTAGAACAGTGGCAAGGTGTGGCTTGTGTCGGATTTGGTATTTTATTTTCACCCCCTCTAAAAAAATTTCTGCATCATCAACCCAACTCGAGGATTTACTACTCAAACCTTTAGGAAGAGTTAATATAAACGTTCATGAATAAATCACACTAAAGTTTCTGAGCACCAGCCATTTACCATTCCGAACTCCCAAAAGAAACTACCACAGAAAGGGTGTGCTGGTATAAAGGCACAATATTCAAAAAAGTGAGATCTTTGACCAACAATCAAGTGCAGCATTGCAGAACAAGTTTTATAAAGAAACGGCAATAAAATATTGAACTCTAAACAAGAGGAAAAAAAAAACCCTTCATTCTTTTGATTTTAAACATAGTATAAAAATTTGTTTATACAAATTTAGGGAAAAATTGGCTTACAATATCCCAACCCAAAATACTATACTCTGCATGAAACAAAGCAAAGCAGCAATTTAAATTTCATATCAACCACATATACAATATATATTTGACCTGCTTACTCTCGCAGGTAGCACTTACAGCAATTTCTGATTATGCCTTTTTCTCTTTAGCCTCTATTGTCCCATCTTTTCATGTCATGTATCCAAAAGCTTGGAAATATACTAGAGTTTTAAAGCCCAATAAAATATCAGTTATCCAAAAAATGCATGTTCTCTATGACTCAATCTGGATTGTATCCAAGTTCTCTTCAAAATATCCTTTTTTTGGCAAAAAAATTACCCAAATATCACGCGAACAATACTTTTTACCAAACTGCCATGTGGCGTAATTGCTACGACTGGTAGCGAATTACATTCGCCAATGATTCTGTGACACGTGGTACACTTTCGTAGAAAAAAGCTGACGTGTCATAAATCGCTACCAGTGGCAGCGAATTTAGTCTGCAATATGGCCACGTGTCATGAAATCATTAGCGAACGTAATTCGCTAACAATCGTAGCGAATTACGCCACCTGGCAGTCTGGTAAAAAGTACTGTTCGCGTGACTTTTGGGTTAAATTTTTGCCTAAAAAGGGCACTTTGGTCACTGTTCCAGCAAACTTGGTATAATAAAAATGACAATCTGTTAGAATAAAGTTAGGACACGTGGCAGGTTTTACCCAAGTTCACTATCCAACCTAGCGATCTTGGTATAATGAAAGTTGGCTCCCTCTGACCACGCCCGTCTCTTCTATGCTTTATTGGTAACAGTAATTTTTTCACTTGCCAAAAGTTGTTTCCTTCCTTGCATTTTCTCTCTCTATCTTTTCAAAAGTCCATCTTTTAGTATTTCAAAAAAACAAAAAAAAGTCCAGCTTTTACCATAGACACACTAAAATTTCACCTTTTCTTTTTATTTTCTTTTTTTTTATAATGTAATCATCCTCACTTTTTCCTTCCATCTTTTTTTTTTCTACCTCTCTCTCCAAATAAAGAAACTAAAGTGTTGGAAGATATAGGGGTCAGTGTGCGAAGACGTTTTCCTTTCATACAGTTGAAAAGCAACATGACAACTAGCATGTAGTTCGCTGCACTATGCAGCCAACTTGTCCAAGTGAACGGCAGACATTTTTTACCATAGTGCGCTACTATAAGTAGCGAACTAGGTACCAAAAAATGTAAAATCAACAAACGAAGTTCGCTGGACACTGTAGCGAACTTGACCGCGTGACATTTGAGTAAAAAGTTAGTGAACAATGGCATTTTGGTCACTGTTCCCTGAAAAACCATCGTACTCAATATTTTCCCAAACAGTTGATTGACACCGGCGTATGAATGAAAGCGTTAATACTTAAAAAGGCATTTGGCACAGGAGAAATTTTTTTATCAGAGAATCGTGATTACGGAAATATTGCGAAAAAATGAGTATTCCGGGAATGTGACAAAACAGTTGTTTGGTAGGTTAAGATATTAGCGGGAATATTGGCTCAAGTTTACTAATGCTATGTTTGGTTGATTATCAAATATTACTCGAAATGTGTGGTAATTTTATAAAATTACCCTTTTAAAATTCAGCCACAAACAAAATCTGATATCTAGGCTCAAAACAAAATTTCTCCTTCTGGGTTTAACATTCAGCCAACGCAAGTTTGAGTGGAATGCAAGTTTAAAAGGAAATTGATTTTCAACTTTTGTTACAGAAACGTTTACATCCTGGAAAAGACCACAAATGCTTCTAATCCCTCACAAAAGTCATACACGTATATAATGTTCTCAAAGTGACATGCAGAGGGAGTTTTCCACACGAGACCCCAATTGTTTCTTACTAGATGCAGGCGATCAGCATCCTCAATGAGTGAATTGGCACATGAACATTCTTCTCTGGAGTCACACAAGAGGACAAGCTTCTTGATATTCAAGCTCCAAGCGAACTGCAGCCCTCACAAGCTACCCCAAAGCTCAGCCTCAAGAGCTTAACATGTTCTTGATATTCAAGCATGGGTATTTTTGTCTGAAAATTTTGTATCCATTTTCCCATCGTATAGTATTTATAAAATACCACCTTATCAATGGTATTCTGAAATATGAAAAATGTGTGTAAACAAGAATCCTGAGAATGTAACTTTACCAGGATAAATTTTAGATTTCTTTCTACCAAGTATGGGATAATCACATTGCGAGGGTCACTTTCCATATAAAAATATTTCTCCACCTACCAAACACCCTCTAAAAGCCATGAATAGAATGTGAATACTATTTCATGACAATTTTTTTTAATAAATCACAAATATTCTTAATGGGTTCAAAACAAATACAATATTAAAATTTTAAACTTCTTCCAAAATGATAATAATTTCTCCGATTACGGGCGCTAAGTGAACTATTATTAGTTTGATAATGATATATATAAAAATAAAGGAAAATTATTCTCTCATGTAATAGGATAGAGTTATCTTATGTTGTAGATACATCGATAAACGTGCCTTTTATTTATTTATTTTTTATTTTTTACTACATGGTGGGACCTACCATGTGTTGGGTCTATGACATGAAAAAATATCTCCTACAATATGAGATTTAAATGTCCCCTAAAATAAAAAAGAACTAAAAATGACGCCATTTGCAAGAAAGTAAGGTATTATTACGAAAGCGTGCAAAAAAATAGAACAGAGTATAAATACGACTAGCTGTATTTTCTGTGAGATAATGTGAAAGCAAAACCAATCTCATCGGAAGGGAATGTCCCGGACAATGTCGCGGCGGTGGCGGTGCACTACTTCGGCGTTGGCGAGGCGCTACTCGGACACAGATTACGACGAGGAGGAGAATATCACCAGGCGATGCCTTTCATGCGAGGATGATTACGACCCCGAAAACGCGGGAACGTGCAAGGTATGCTACGAGGAAGCCAACGAGACAGAGGATGAACTCAAGCGGGAGATCCAAGAATTGAAGTCGAATGTTTCATTCCTGAAGCTGTCTTCTCCCATATATTCTTCCACCAACAGTTCCACCACCGATGTCACCCTTATTCCCTCTGATTACCCTTCTTCTGCCTGCGTTCCAGCTCACAAAGCTGTCCTGGTCAGTTCCTATATCCAACTTTTGTCTCTCTTTTTTCTTTTGGGGTTCCTCCAAGTTTTGATTTTGACAATCACAAGCTCCTTCTGATGTCCCTTTGTTTTGTGTTAGGGTTTTATTTTATTTTATTTTATTTTATTTTTATTTTTATTTTTATTTTTAATGCCTGATTTATTTATTTTTATTTTTATTTTTAATGCGTGATTTATTTATATTTTTTTATTTTATTTTTTGATATGATTTTGTATGAATGTTGGGCTTTAGCATTAAGATGATTTATTGTCCTTTTGTTTAATATGTATAAGCGTATAGACACACACATTGATGGATTAAAAAATTCTGAAGGTGTCCCTAGTTATGTAAGTAGATATGAGATCAATTTACCCAATCTTTCATCAAAGTACATGTGAACCGTGTCATGTGTTATGTTTATAAGCTATAGTGTGGCTGGATCCCTGGAGAGTCTAGATTTTTGGGCTTGGTGAATGGTTTACTATCATGCCTTTGATAGTTAATCATACTTAACCTTAAGATTTAATGTGCATCTGTCATAAAACATTTGCATTTAAGAATTAAGTGGTGCTTCCGGTTGAGTGTTGAGATTATTTATGTTCAGTGGTTTCAATCATGGTTATAGATTAATTTGGACCTCCTCTGCTCTGAGATATAGGTGGAAAAGGGTGATGTGAAAATTGGCAAGGTATTTGAACACTCTCCCCATTCTCTTTCCTACCACTCTTACCAAGCATCCACTCCAACTTTTAATTATCATATCCATTAAACAGGGGAAAACTTGTAATAACCTAACCTAATTGGGTTTGAAAAAAAGTATCATGAACTAGCAGGTTGCCTTAGTGAGGTTTTGTAGTCCAAATTTTCTTTCTTTTATATTTTTGTTTTTCTAAATTTTTTAAGAAATACATGGCAATAGCGTATGAATTGACTCATGATGTATGCAGATTGGATTCCATACTCTTGTTGTCTATGCTACGAGTTTCTATTCCATACTCTTGTTGTCTATGCTACGAGTTTCTTTCCTGGACTCAATCCTGATATGCAAATCAGTGAACAAAGTTTAACCTCAGACTGTTTTTAATTAACAAATGAGGCATGCATTGCATCATACTTCGCAATTTGCTTTCTGGTATTGTTTGAATGTAAAATGGCCTATGAGTTACTCTTATTATGTATGCAAATTGGGTTCTACACTTTTGTAGTCAATACTATGTGAATTTCTTCCTTTGACTGAATCCTTACATGTTAATCAATAAACAAAGATTAACATGAGATTTCTTAATCTCAGACTGTTTTTCTCAACAACAACAAAATGAGACACGCATTCGATCATACTTTGTATTTTGCTTTATGTTGTTGTTTTGATGTAAAATGAACTGAAAAAAAAATGTTGAGTAATTGATGAGATTTACGAACTGCTATATTTTCCTATACGTTAGGACTCTTTCTATTTTTTTTATGTTCATAATAAAACTATTGATATCTTATGATACATGGATACAATTAGGTTAGTCGCTCTCCAGTTTTCAAAGCAATGCTTGAGAATGATATGGAGGAGAGCCGGAGTGGCACCATCAAGATTTCTGATGTATCATATGATGTTCTTTATGCATTTGTTAACTTCTTATACACTGCTGAAGCATGCCTTGATAACCAAATGGCACGGGACCTATTAGTCTTAGCTGAAAAATATGAGGTAATGCATCTTAAGGCGAATTGTGAGAAGTATTTGATGGCTGATATGAATTGGGAGAAAGCTATTGAAAACTATGCCTTTGCACATCTACACAATGTTGAACAATTACTAGATGTAGCCTTGGCAAGGATCACAGACAACATGCACATCCTCACTATCAATGAAGATTACAAGGAGCTGGTGGAAACTAATCCTCGTCTTCTTGTGCAAATATTTGAAGCATATCTTGCCAAACAGGATAATATTGCCGACCCCCTCAAGCTATAGGGACAGAGCATAAATCTTGGGTGATAATTTAGTTTGGATTGGTAATTGACCTATGGTAGCATTTTAATTGTACATTATTATATAATACTATTATTAAACATGCAATTGGACCCACCACGTTCAATCATGTTGTACCTTGTCCATCACCTTTTGGTTCTTAGTACATATATAAGGTATTATTAATCCTTATTGCCTCAACGAAGAATACTGAGGGAGATCCGTTATTGTTACTACTGTTTAAATGTCTCCTCTAGTGTCTATGTTGCACGCATCATTAGAAGGAATGAAAGAAATGTAAAAAGAAAAGATATGGGTGGAGAGATTTATGGAAATGGAACTAGTGAAGAAAACAAGATATACATGTGCTAGATTGAGAAAAGAGAATTGATGTTGGTTGTAAAATATGGGGAAGGGGAAAGGGAATGGGAATGGGAACATGAGTTAATAGGAGAGGTGTCAAAATTGGTTGAAGCTTATATTTGACCTTAATTCATTAGAGTTTTTTGTGGTATGTTTTTTTTAGCTCTAATCCTCAGAGTCTTATAATTTAGCGGGTTGGATTAGGGCTGGCCTGCGTGTCAAATTTTTTTCTTCATCAAAATTTTTATTATTTAAAAAATTAAAAATTATATAAATTTAAATATTTATAAATATAAAATAAATTATAAATTATAAATTGTTGTGAATTTAATAGAGAAAATGAAATAAAAAAAATGAAGTGTAGAAAGAAATTCAAAGGAAGAAGATAAGAACAAGTATGAGTTTTTGGAGGTAAGGAAATATTATTATATTCTGAATTCACCAATTATCATTTTTTTCATCTAAAATATGTCATTATATAGGACTCTAAACATAATTAAGGGAATAATTAAAATTTTACACACTATTAGTGTGATGGTTGTAGTGATGGTTGTAGAATACATAAAATGTCATGAAAAATAAAAAGTCACATGTTATGATCTATGTAAAATGTCATCCACTATATTTTACAATACTCCCCCTTGAATGTATTCTACAATTCAACTCATCATTAGTGTGATGGTTATAGAATACATCAAATGTCATAAAAAATAAATAGTCACATATTATGAACCATGTGAAAGATCATCTATAATATTTTACAATTCAACACACCATTGATGTGATGATTATAGAATACATCAAAGATTATGAAAAACAAATAGTCACATGTTATGAACCATATGAAAGGTCTTCCATAGTACATGTGAAATGTTATCCATAATATTTTACAATTCAAGACACCATTAGTGTGATGGTTGTAGAATACATCAAAGGTCATAAAAAATAAAGAGTCACATGTTATGAACCATATTAAAAGTCATCCATAATAGATGTGAAAGGTCATCCATAATATTTTACAATTCAACACATCATTAATGTGATGGTCATAGAATACATCAAAGGTCATGAATAACAAAAAGGCACATGTTATGAACTATGTGAAAGGTCATTCATAATATTTTACAACAAAAATAAATTTTTCAGCAGTGATATGTTTCAATATAGAATTTCATTTGTGCATCAATAAAACTAAAATTTTCTATTGACAGCTAAGCATGATATATATCCAAATTTGTATTAAAACATATAATATAAATGCACTTTAGAAATTTTGTGGATAATAATAACTATTTTTTTGTAACGGTAATAGTAAAAGAAAATCAATGATTTTAATTTCCAATGTATAGCATACTAAGAGAAGTTATTTGAATACTGGTATTAAGATTATTTTTCCATCGTTATTTTTAGTTTTTCACTAGAGTTGTTGTATTCTGTTATGACTCTTGGTGAGAAAATATGTATTTGATGACATCCTTTAATAATGAATTTAATAAAGGTAATAACTAAATTTTCACTTATATTAAAATTTTGTTTACATTTTCACTTGTATATTTGCATACAATTAAATTATAAAAAATTTATAATTTGTATAATATATGTTAAGAAAGTGTTAAATATTTATTTCTTAAAATATTTTTTAATGTATTAAATATGATAAAAAAAATTATGAAATTATAATTTTGGAAGGTTCACGGGCTGGCCTTAACTGATAGGACTTTTGCCCAGTGCGACCTTTATTATTGAGAGTTCATTTGGCCCTGCAAGCTTTTTGCCCTAACCCACATGGGCTAGGGCTTCATGGGACATGCTAGCCTATTTTGACAGCTTTAGTTAATAGTTCAAAGATGTCATTAAGTTACTATTACACGAGCTATCTAATCTAAATAGCGATTCAGTTTTACTAGCAATGGCATAAAGAAGTTTTTGAAATGATTGGTGAAATTTTTTTGACGAGAGGATTATTAATCATAAGTTCTAAGTAAGCCTGATTCTCCTATTGTTATTAAAAATGCTATAGTTAATTAAGTAATAATTACATATTCAATCACTAATAATATTATATAGCTATCACCTTGTATGTATGTATCTTGGGAATGAATCTTTTCGTATTAAAATTTTAGCTATCACCTTGTATTGTTACGTGAAAATTTCAGTCTATATAATAAAGAAAGGGATAGACATAAAATTTTGAATGGATAGATTTTTAACAATTCTATCTTTATGGATGCTTCTTAATAGGTCTTTTATTCCTCTTTTCAGATATTAGTAATGAACCATTATTGAGTCAAGAGAGGTAGGTATGTAACCCCAAGGGGTGTAGCGATCACTATAGAGGTGTCCTTAACAGCAATGATATATGTTGGGCTTTTCCTCCTTAATGCTACACAAGGCCCAATGTTAGTGAGTGGGGCTCAAGAAACTCAAAGAACTTGGTGCTCAAGTAACCCTAATCCTCACTTTTGATATTCTAGAATCTTTCCCTCTTCTCCTATATAAGCTTGTGTTATGTGAGAAGGCTAGGGTTAAACAATTTGAGGAAATTTTGAGAGCACCTTTAGGGAGAAGCTCGAGAGTTAGACCTCCTTAGGGAAGTTTAAGAGAATACCACCATTGTAGGTGAAGTTTGAGTGTACCACCATTATTGGTGAAGTTTGATATATTGTACCCATTATTTTTATAGTGAAAATTTGATTCTGGACTAGTTTCATGTGGGTTTTTACTTCTTCACATTGGAGAAAGTTTTTCTACGTTAAAATATGTTTGTGTTTATTTCTTTGTTTCTCACTCCTTCTGCGTTTTTCATTTTTGCTGCATATAGGCCAACCTGGAGAGTTCAGGCCGACTTCTTCGATAGCCAAGTTCCGAGCTCGACGTTTGACTTTTGCTATAATATCCCTAACCTCTTTAAATAGAAAATTTCATATGATTAAATAATTAATCATGAATTATGGGGTTTAATTAAGTAAAAGGAATAATTAAGCGAATTTAAGTCACTTTTGAGGTAAAAAGTGTAGTCAGTGAAAATTATGGGGTAAAAATATGTGTAGGCAAAAGTACCCAAAATATAAAAATAAAGCCAAAATATTACTAGAGAAATATTATAGTCCATTATGCTAAGTTTGGTGGTGAATGGAGTTAAATAGATAGATAGGCTTATATCCAGTTGAAATAACTAACCTATGTTAAGTGACAAAACAAAGACAAACCCACTCATTTCATTCCTCTTCTTCGTTGGAAATTTGGGAGAGGAGAAGATAAGCCATAACCACTGAGCTCCAAATCCTAACTTTCGTATTTCTCATCCAAATCAACTCATTCCAAAGCCAAAACCACTTCAAATCCTCTCCTCTTTCTTAACCCTAACTTAGTTTGAGTGGGAACCATTATGGAGTGAGATATTGCTTGAGGAAGGGGGCGAAAATTTGACATTGGTGGAGCTTGAGGTGGAGTCTTCCATTCTTGTGGTTTGGAACCCTCACCTTGGACCATTGTGGTTCGATTGTGGTAAGTTTTTTATTTATTTTGGTTAATTTGAATGAGGTGCATGTTTAGGGTTTTAATTTGAGAAATGCATGAATAGTGGGGTATGTTAGAGAGAGATTGAAGTTAAATTCCTTTGCAAAAGTTGTTAGGAATGATAAATAAAGGGTAGAAATGGACTTAGACTGTCATTTGGTTGTTGTTCAATATATTGAAAAAATTCATGCTTGGACATATGGAGTTTCTTGCATTGTTGAGCCATGATTTGGTTGGATGGTTGATTGTGTCCCTTGGGGTGATAGGATTAAGCTTTGTGGATCAACATTGAAGGACCAACCATTAGAGGAAGCCATGGAGCTTTATTAGCTCACTTGAATTGGTAACTTCATGCCATTGCGGTGTGAATATGTTTGTTTGGGTGATGACAATATTGGTATTCATTGGATTGACTTGATAGATTGTCTAATTCCTTAATGTAGGTATTGATTTGTTGGTATTGTTGTAAAGCTTGGTTGATTGCTCATTGGTGGTGAACAAATGTTAAGCTTTGAAGCTCATTGAGGTAAGCCTTCGGACCTTGGGTGTTGATCCCTTTATTGTTCCACCAAGCCCGGAATGGGTAGTGGTTGTTGATAGTGTATGTAAATGCAATAAAGTAGTTTAATGCTTTGTTATACGTATGTGTATGCACAGGGTGTGGCATAGGATGGTGGTTTCCTATGTTTTGTATGTTGCATGACGATGCGTAATTAATACTTGGTAGTTTAGCTAGCCAGTAGGACTATTTTGCATCTGAGTATCCTTAGGACAGCATAAGAGCTTGAGGGATGTCTCTTGGAGATGTTTTTACACACTGCATGGATATGTATTTGCTGCATTATTTACGGTTATTGCTATTATACTGTGGGTGAACTGTGGGGTGGAGAGATGCTCCAAGGACCCCTAATTTACTGAGAAGTATTCGTATATCTCACCTCGTGTTGTGGGGACCCCCTTTCAGGTACAGATGCTGCAAGAGCCTCTGGTGGCAAGTGGCCATACTTGGATTAGATTGATGCATGAGAATATTGCATTATTTTGGTTATGCATGTCATTTTGTAGTTCCTATGTATATGATTTATATTTGAAAGCCATTTGATATATGTACATCATGCTTT